CCTGCTAGTAGGCCACAATTTAATCATGCTGCCATGAGTCTTGAGGTGATGTGTCTTTCATGGTGAAACTTTATTTTTTTGGAGAGAAGGAAGAAGTATTTTTCTGACAGATTGACTTTGAACTGGAATGATGACTACTGCTCAGGCAAGCAAGTAAACATAAGAGTAAATTTTGGAGGATGGTGGATTGTAGGACTCTGGAAGGTTGGAAGTTCTTAATTCCACAATGCATTCATTACATGTTCCTAATTTATTGTTTGATATTGCCCTCTTTATACATACGCATAGTAGGCCCCACACAACCTTAAAACTATGCAACTGCATATCTTAATGGAAGTTCTTGAGTTCAGGACGTTACCAATGATGATTGCTATTCCCTGAGTAATTTGCGCAAGTGTATTACTTTAACCTAAAAAGATGCATTTGGAATGATCTACTGACCTCAAAAATATGTGTATGCAGTTTTCTTTCATTAATAAAAATCAGGATAACTGAACTCAGTATTGTAAATATCAGTATCTGAACAAGAACAAGTACTCTTTAAATCTATTGAACTTCCATTTGGTCTCACGTATTTTAGAGGCAAAAATGTCTTCTACTTACGTCTTACTTGAATGCATATGAGGTGAATGGCTTGTGTCCAACAGAAGACATCAGTGTAATGCCACTTGATATCAAGAGAGAACAAATTTGCCCAATGGCAACCTATTATTAAGTGCTGCAGTGGCTGCTTTTTAAGCAGGGCTTTTAACCAAACTGGAGACAGAAACAGGAAATAAGCAGCTGGCACAGTTATGACTCCTTCGGGACTTGCTTTCAATACACTGAGTTATTAATGTACCTTAACCATTTGCATTATTTTTATCAAAACGTCATGGAAAAAAAAGGGGTTTTTTTGGTACTCTTAACAGACGGTTTTTATGGTACACCAGTAAATTTCTTTCTCATATGTTTTAGCCAGTATATAGTCTTCGAGGTGGGGCGGGGGGGAGGTTGGTAGGAACTGGGACAATAAGCACAATGATTGCATGATACAGTACCACAGGCATTCATACATGTCTACTGAAATGATTTGAATATGTTTTGGTGCTACTAAACCTACTGAAGTTTTAAGGCCCATAGACCTGCAAGCTTATTTTGGAAGATCTGATGATTATAGAAAACAAATTGTCTAGAAGATATCTCTTATTACATCATAGACCTAAAGCTATGAGGTTGCATCATACACACAATGATCAGTCAACAAATTTGAAGCCAAATAAAATGTGTGTAGATGAGTTGGAGAAGTCTGTGTTAGTTTGGTGCTAGTCTGACATACTTGATTTTGGAAATTTACTCTGGGTTTTGGAACTCCTGATGTTTGAAGGTGTTGGATTTGGCAAGAGTGTTATAAAGGCAGTAGATTTTCTTTTAAATAGAAAATATTTCCCAGGTGCAATAAAATTTCCACACCTAAGTCAACAAAATGTGTTTTAGTACAGTGTGTTTCTCCATGTGCTTTCTGTGTTCTAAAAATCTTTGAGGTATATGCTATAAGATCATTATGTAACAGACATGGCAAGTCTAAAAGCTGAGATATGAGCTGTCATCATGACCAGCAACATTTTTCATGCTGTTTGTTATTCTGTACTACCTTCTGCTAAGGACCGGCTTTCTTTTTTTAATCCAATTGTAACTCCAGAATGTTACAAACATAAAAATACATCATTAGCTTTGTTTCAACAATGATTTTAATAAACTGTTTATATGCTAACTAACTTTTTTGCAATAGTAAATTTCTTCAGGTTATTGCATATTGGAAAAAAATGTATAGGATGACTGTGGTTTCATTACATAAAGCTAATATAGTTTTATTGCAATAATATGGCAAGTACTGAATCTGCAATTAATCAGGCTGTTCTTAATTTTCTTTATTTTTCCATACTTCAGGTGAGCTGCTCAGAAAAATACAGACTGTTTAGATTATGCCACAGCTCCATATTTTAGATTGTTAGGCTTAGTACAGCTCACCAATATTGTTTGTATTGATAATTCTACGTGAAACTTGACAGAGAAATACACCATTATTATGACATTCAATTTCTTTTTTTGATATGGTACGCATCTTTTTTCACAAGCAAAAGTAAGTCTTAAAATTTAAAATAAAACATACTTTTAACCTTATAAATAATCCTATTTTTACAATTTTGGTAGTATTATATAGATGGCCATAATTACATTAGAACTGTGCTGTGTTCTATTTGTTTAACAATTATATTGTTTAAGGAATATAGTGACTATAAATTGTTACCAATTAGAATAATCATTTGTCATTCAATTCTAAGCAACTCAGTTACATTAATGACTTTTTCACTTGCATGCTTATGTAAAATTTTACCTCCTGTAGCAATTAAGAATGCATATAAAGTATTTAATTTTTTCCACTGAATACCCTTATATGAAATCAAGAAGTCAATTGGGATTTTTCTCCCACATCCCTTCATTTCAGCATGATTCTTTGAATTAATATTTAATCAGTTTGTATCATTTAGCTCTTAGACTTCTAACTATTGTTTTGTCTTCTCTGAGTCAAATGAAATCAAGTTTGTTCTGCAGGACTGCGTTTCTGTAATACTGCATAGAGAAATGTTTATTGTATTACTATTCTTTGTTCTTTTTTTAATCTTTTCATAACGCTATCACTCTTGAATTTCTGTAGCATTCCAAAATGTATAAAAATTGAACAGTAGCAAGCTTAAGTCTTTCCTCATACTTTCTTTTCAAGGTTACTGAGATGCAGTCTCACAATTTGTCTTCTGTCTAATCTGTTTTTGCTTGGCAAATCTTCAGTTACTAATCAGCCAGAAGATACATTTATTATATGATGTGTGTTTTTATCTATCTTGTTTCTTTCCAAACATAGATAAGAAACATTTCAAGAAAACTTCTGTGTTCCTTTAACAGTACTTTTACTGCCTTTGTCTACTGTTTTGTCTTTGCTATTACTAGAAATTGTTTTGTTCCTATATATTTTTGTTCTTACACACCTAATTTTCTTCGCAGCATTAGCACTGTCAGCTTCTCATGCCAACTTTGTGCCCTTAATAACTTTTAAAGTTTGGCTTTTCCATTTTTCCTTTTGTTCTACAGTACTTTTTACATCAAACTGTTGTATCTGGGTCATCCAGAATTTTTTGAGACTTCCCATTTCATGTCTCTGAGCTTATTTTTTTCCTCTGATTGAAAAAAGCAACCTCTGTCAAATACTATATCTGTGTGTATTTGTACTACTTGATGATATATTTTCTTTTTTATCCGTGTTGACATACATATAATCTGATAATTGTCATTGACCCATACACCATTACCATCACTAAGTGAGAAATAAGCATAAAAATGTAATCTTTGCTTTCCTGTAGAGTGCTGCCTGACACACCTCTTTGCCTGTTCTGTTCTTCCTAGTGGACTTCAGCTCTTTTTACACTTCAAAATACAATTTATCTTAAAAGAGATCAATAGTGCTGCTGAAGTATACTTTCTTCTTATTGATTAGAATTTGTTAATTAGGGTATTCATGCAGTAAAATGTGTCTGAATTATAGTTTATGTTCTTTCTGGTCGTATATTTTTTGAAGTGTATTATGCTTGTTATAGTTCCATATTGTAAAGCATTTTGCAATTGTTCTTATGTTTTGGGTTCCATCCTTTCATTTGTCAGTGTCTTCTACTCTTAAATGATAAAAATTACTTATCTTTTAAAGTAGCATAATTAAGCATCAGTCCTTAAGCTCTGAACATTATTTTTCACATCTAGCTGAAAGCAATGACATTATATTATGGTCATATAAGGTATGCAAATTAGGCTCAAGTTCAAATACCATGTTATGTAGACTGGATTTATTTATTCTTTTCGTGTTATTGTTGTTATATAGTTTGGATTTCTGCACTAGAAGTTACACTTGCATTTCCAGGTAACAGACAAAACCAAAAAGTAAGAAATTACCACAAAGACTCAAATAAACAAAAGGAAAGTAAGCAGACAATAAATGTTCTGTTGGCCAAGCACAATATTCTCAGTAATTGTGGAGGTGCAGTTGATTGATTTAATAATCCAAAAAAAAACCTAATCCCAAATTAGAACTTCCTTTCCATGATGGTTTCAGATAGTTCTCCTTCATTTTTTTTATCATTTGCTTGTTACCACTTCTTAAAAAATAATTAAGCAAGGCTTTATGGGCTGTTCTTTCCTCTTTTTCTGAGATTATGATAAAAATTTTCTGAGGTAGGATGTGATTTGGTTACACTGTTTGAAATGTCTTCTATAGTAGTCTTTACCTACTAGATCATAAATTATCATGTTAACACATCTTAAGTTAATATCCCTTAGGTAAGTGACCGAAACAGATCCTGTGTACGCCTCTAGTTCATTGCAGAATGAGGTGCAAGAGGTTATTTTAGCCGTTAGGTAAGTGACCGAAACAGATCCTGTGTACACCTCTAGTTCATTGCAGAATGAGGTGGAAGAGGTTATTTTAGCCACTAGGCAAACCCATTCTGCTCCACATTGTAACACAAAAGCAACATTCTCATTATCAACTATATCTTGGCTGATATATGGCTTATTTGAAGAAATTGATTTTTGTTTGCTGATCGTGTACTTAGTTGGGAATCTAACAAGCAAGCAAGATATGTTAGGGATATTAGAAGATGTTAGATTTGTAAATGTTGACATTCTCTAATGTAGACTGATAGCAGTCCCTTCTTTTGAGAATTAAGGCTATAGAAGCTTTGTGTATATTGCTGGGTCTTCTAAAAAAGAACATGATTTTTAAAATATTAAGTTTATTGTTTAGCTTCCAGGAATCCATCTGAAATATTTTAATGGCACTGACAGATACATACTTGGTCGTGCTGAATGACGTGAATGTCCTATGGACATAGGACTTTTGCTATTTAAGCAACATTGTGAATATATAGTATAATATTATATTTTTTATTTTTTCCTTTATTTTTTCTAGGGAGAAAGGTTTAATTGTAAGAAATGGATGCTAAAGGATTACAAGGAGAAGATAAACTGAAGATGCTCATAATTTTACTAGCATATTTGGTAAGTTAAAAATTTGGGCTTTTTTCCCACGCCCCAAGATGAGTGTTGAAAAAATTGTATTGAAGACAGGAATGGTGTCTTTTGTTTTACATCTTACTGCTAGCACTAAAAGTCTTACACACATACACGCAGATAATTACATATGCATTTTACCAATTTAAAAGTGAGCTTGGTCAACTGATTTGTATAATTTCTCACTACTCCTCACATGCAATTAAAAAATTTTACCTTGTGAACCCCTTCATGGAAGAAGGACTGGACTAGGACAGAAAATATAGTGCTGTGAAAGTGATATTGCTTCACTTCGGAGAGATGGCAGGAATTTTAAGCAATTTGCAGTGGCCATCTCTTAGTACGGTATGCTAATATGTATAGTTCAGGAGCTTGGAGTTTCAGTTTATCCACAGAAAATAGCAAAGCGCACAATTACGTTCCCTACTAAGCGTACTTCATCTCTGGCTTGCAGAGGCAAGTTCTAGCACTAAGGGTAATTAACGCTTCATAGCTATCAGAAAGGCTTTGGTCTTTCTGAAAAGACTAATACACAAAGTAAGAGTTTAGTAGCAGTTGTGGAGAGCACTTTCTGTGATGGAAGCTTCTATGTAGGCATTTAATTCTATTGAGGGTGCTCACAGGGTTTGCTAAGTTGCTGGGTAGGATTCAAGTGCTTATACTGAGACATTGCATGGCTGATATTACTGCTTATGGTATTTCTCATAGTTTCTGGTTTGGCCAGATAATGTACTTAAATGCCTTTGAAGGCAGAAATTGGATTCTTTCTCATTTGGCCCATTAAATATAAAGTGATAATGAAATTTAGAATAGAATCACAGAATCACCAAGGTTGGAAAGGTCCTTCAAGATCATCAAATTTGGATTTAATCCATTAATCCAGCACCACCATGTCCCCTAAACCATGTGTTGAAGCACCACATCCACACGTTTTTTGAACACTTCCAGAGATGGTGACTCCACCAACCTCCCTGGACAGCCTGTTCCAATGCTTGACCACCCTCTCGGTGGTCAGAATTTTTCCTAAAATTTTTCCTAATATCCAATCTAACCCTTCCCTGGCACAACTTGAGGCCATTTCCTCTTGTCCTATCACTAGTTATTTGGGAGAAGAGACCAACACCCTCGTCGCCACAACCCCTATTCGTGCAGTTTTGGGGTGGTTTTTAAGTTTCCAAAAGGTTTGAGTGACCTTTTAAAATCTGTAAATATTTCTGTTTAAAGGAATAGATTTTTATGTATCCAATTGTAATAGCATCATTTTAGAAAAATCACAAATAAATGAAACACAGCAATACAACGTGATGTGACACAGCTTACTGTCATCAAAATTGTAGCTTTAGTAAATGGTTGTGCATTTTTCATAATGTTGAGTAAGGTGAGGAACTAAAACTCATGTTCAAACAATTAAGTGTTTTGACATTACACAGGTGACAAATATCAAGCAGGTCTTGTAAAAATTGTAAAATTGTTGCAAGTCGCTGAGTACTGAGAGCCTTTAAAATTCAGGCCACTTATCCATATTTGGAGTTAGATGATTAATTGCCATATTTGAAGTTTTTGATAATGCAGAAAGTTATTTTTGAGATAGAAACATTAATTTATTTCTCATATTTAGAGGTTATATAAAGTATATGTTAATCAAATTAATTATTTGTAGTGAGCTTACTTTTTTTTTTAAGCTAAGTAGGGTAATTTGTGAGACTGGGGATTGCAGAGAGCAAGAATTTCGGGACCACAATGGAAACTGTATCCTCTGCAAACAGTGTGGACCTGGAATGGAACTCTCAAAGGTAAGCAAATCATGCTTTCCAGAATTTACTTTGTTTTCAAGAAGTGCAATTATGTATGTGGTTAAAAGAATAGATACCTGTATTTCTGTGGAAATATTTTTTTAAATACGATTTTGGCATTTGAACCTTTTACAGTTTTTCAAGTACTGTGTTTTCTGGTTCTCTTTACATAAAATGCTCAGTTCAGAAAATGATGATACCAGTAATAAAGTAGGCAGTACCATTAGAGGATCTGGGTATGGGCTCTCAAATTAAGATGTTTGGGTTTTTTTTAAAGGTGAGTTTGGTGCTACAAAGCAGGGGATAAACTACAGGGAATTAAGACTGAATAACCTCACTCTGCAGAGGAGAGTATGAAAAATGAATTTCAAGCTAGTGATTGGTACAGACCACTGAAATGGAGGGCTTGATTTTTACAATGCCTTTCAGAATCAGTTATGGAATTTAGGTGAAATTTCTACTATAGGCAATATTTAAATATTTTCTATACAACAACTTGTCTTAACAGAATGTTTTATGATAAAAATAAGGGCATAAGCACATAAATACAGAATAGGATTCAAGTGAGAACTGAAATATTTCCTTAGGACAGTTGGGAGATAGGTGATTGTTCTGTTTTCACTAGCTCAGTTGTTGGAGCACTTTGTGCTGGGAAGCTGGATTCAAGTGAGGCTCAATTTCCTTGTTTTAAAACTTCCTAAAAATGCTATAAACCTCATCCATATCTTTATGCCATGTAAAGTAATTGAGAAGGTTGAGGCCAGAAAAATACATGGTAATATGTAGAAAGCACAAAAGTCCTTGTTAATATCACAGAGAAGGAAAGATTGCTATCATGAGTCTTATGTAAATGTTTTTTATTTTAGAACAACTGTATCTCTTCCAAAAGAAAATCCCCATAAAAATTTGGAATTAGCACATTTTTTAGGAGTGCAGAAATGAGTCGTCAAAGATGAGCGGTTACTGAGGTTATGGGGTGGGATTCAGTAGAACTAGAAAGTTAACTTGGTAAAATTTCCAGCAAAATTCCAAGTTTGAATGCAAGTCATGAGGGGGATCTTAGTTGCTTTTCAGCACAGAGGAGGTAGGTGCTGTGTATGAGCAAGGATAGAGAACAACAAAGGAAGATATAGCTGAAATGAGGCAGGGGGGTAGGGGGGAATATGGTGGGATTCACTAACTCGGTCACCGGAGGTGGGAGAGGTAACAGAATGAATTTGGAGTCATGGGGAGACTGGATGTTTTGGGGGAGCAGGTGTGTCATGCTAGAGGTGTGAAGATGATCAGGCAAAAAAGAGAGGGTGCAAGCTGGTATCATGAAGGGTGAGCAGACTTGTGAAGTCTCACACATAAGCATAAGACTGTTTCTTCAGTATCCTGCTACTATACCTATATCTTGCCCATTGTAAGAGTGTAAAACTGTGGCCCAAACGTAACTGTGCAGTCCGAATTACAGCTAGTAGGCGGGGCCCTGAAGACAGAAGTGGCTGCCCTGCTCAGTGCCTTTGCATGTAGAAGGGCAAAATCTGTTTTGTACTCTTACTGATAGTGTGAAAAGGATGATAAAGGTACAATTTAGGGTGTTATTTGGGGGTGAAATGTAATTTTCAGGGTTGCTTCTGTAGGCTAGTATGTTATGTAGGTCCAAGGGGGAATTTGAAATGGTATTTTTGAAATTTTTTTAACATGAAACATTACTAAGTCTGGTGTGTATGTATGTTTAAACAACAGGGAAAAAGAAGCCTTCAGTTTGTGGCTTTGTATTTCTTACTATATTCAGCTCTGAAAAAAAACACAAGTGTTGTGGTTTGTGGGTGGTTTGAAGAGATTTACTGAAATTGAGTGACACATTTTCCCTATCTCTCCACCCCCTGTAGCTGGTGTTCAGTGCACTAACAGAAATACTTAGTTTCACACTTCAATGAGGATTGCTTTCCATGTTAGGTAGTATTAGTTAAAGTTTAGTTGTACAACCAATGCTGTTGAAGTAGAGATTTGAAGATGACTAAACAGTATGGATGTCGTTTTCTTTGGATGTTTTGTTTTTTTTCAGATTTGCCTTGAATTTGAGGACTGAAGGGCTCTGGAGGGTGTTTTAATTAATAAAGGCACTTGTAAACATGGTGCTTTATGACAGTGGTCCTACTAAAGCGGTACTATATACATTGATGTAGCATACTTATATAGTTGGCAAATAAAAAAAAGTATAAAAACTAATGCCCTCAGTAATTACACTTTCAGTTTAATAAAGAAATGCTAAACTAAAATAGGAAGGCTATAGTTTGCAGTAGTATACTATTAAGGTTATGTTTTTACTTTAATTATTTTTGTTTAATCTGATAGTCCGGATTCTTAGGACTAGTTTTTCTGAAAATATGAATGCTTAATTAATGATTTAATTTCAATGTGTAAGCAGTTACTTTTCCCAGACATAAATAGGTTTCCAAATACTATTTTTTGCTACTACACTGGAACTGAAATAACTAAACAGATTTTGCTCAAACACAAATGTGAGTGGAAGCATATTTTCCTTTATAAATAGAGGTAGAGGTACAATTTTCTGTGAATCATAGCAAAGGATATGATGCTGTGGCTGTTACTGAAGTGCAGTTGAAAGTAGTCTTGCTGAACTACAGCTTGAAGCAACAAAGAATGTTAAGTCAAATGTCAGAACACAAAGGGAAAAGGGATTTAATGATATACTTTAAGTAATTTGCAGCACGGGGGGAGTTTTGTTTGCTTTGTTTTTTTACATGTGAGAAAGTGATGATGTAATTATGTATTTTAATAACAGTTTCTTAATAACAAATAATGTGTCTGTTTTCCTGTCAAATACTTAGTGCTCACGCATAAAACTAGATATACTGCTGGATGTGTGAGCATGACTGTATGTCTAAGTATAGAGTAAAATACAATGTTATCAATGGGTTTTTTTGTTTGGTTTGTTATTCTCTTCACTTTGCACACCCCTCACCCCCCCCCAAAGTGTTCTAAGCAATTGACTGACAGGTTTTGGTTTTTTTTAGTAACAAAACAACTCAACCTATATTGTTGAATACAAAAGGCTGGCTATTGGGTCATGCAGCAGTAGACTATGTGAACGGTTGATGTAAACATATGTCCCTATTTCCTTCCCTTGAAACTCAGTTCAGGTAGAACTGCTGCTGCTGCTGAGTAAGCTGAAGAAGCCAGGTCAATGTCAAAGGCTGTAGAGCCCTCACTTCACTCTTATGAGAAACTACTTCATCTTAGTTACAATCTAAATCTGTAGATTTCTTTCTTGTTATTACTGACTATACAAAAATAGGAACTGTGTTCTTTTCAAAAGCTAAGTAAGGTTAGCAGGCTAAGCACTATGAAAGAAAAACTGGAGTTCTCAAGATAAAAATTAAGATAAATACTGTGGTACAAATGGGTACTATGACTTAAATACATTGCCAGTGAATACCGTTGCCACTTTAAACAGCAATCAGTTTAGAGCGTAAGTACACTTGTGCCTGTACTTTCTTTCTTTCGCCTTTGTTAAACTGGGTACATGATGTTACAGAAATCAAAACTAGTATGTTGTTACATCTGATTGGGTTTTTTTTAACTTCAATGGGATTTTTATTCTGGATTTATAAAACCCAGTTAAGTTTTCCACACTTAAGGGAAAACATAGTGATACCTGAAGATCAGACTTAAGAATCTTAACACAGGCTGCACAGGTGACTTAAGGTATGGTTAAAGCCTAATCAAGTCAGGTCCTGTGTGACAGTCCAGCCTGTTCCCATGTTGCCAGATGCACTCAGATACACCGCAGACTTGCAGCAGCAGTATGGGTAAATGTACAGGGCAAAATACCACCTGTACGGAGTGTGTATATACTTAATTTTACAGCTATTAACTTGAGTTAGTTATATGACCTTTGTTGCTATACTACGTGAGCATTTCATAATACCATTTTGAGTTAGGGAAATGCTGTTGCCTCTTTCTAATTTATACATGAGATACTACTGGCACAGAAATCAACTTGCAGGTAATGCAGGAAATTTTTGGTGGAACAAGAGTAGACAGAGGCCACAGAATAGACCAAGAGGATGGAGGTTCTCTCTTCAGCAGGCACTACATGGACAAGGCAAGGGACAACAGGTACAAGTTGTACCAGGAGAGAGGTTTTATCTCTATATAAGAAAGAAATTTCTTATAATGAGAACAAGCATTCACTGGAACAACTTCCCCAGGAACATGGCAGAGTCCCTATCACTGGAGATTTTTAGGATGCAGTTGGACAGAATACTAGGTCATCTCATCTTGGCTCCCTGTCCTGTGAAAGGTTGGACCAGATGTTCTTTCAAGGTTCCTTCCAACTTGGGCTGTTCTATGATTCTATATGAGTGTTTAATTTTAGTTGCAAACTAGTGCTCAACCTATTGGATTGACCTTCTTCTCTGCATAGGTAAGCAATTTCCCATACCCTGTATAGCACGAAACAAAAAACACAACCAAAACACTCAGCCTTATTCCATGTAACTATTTCGGAATCTAGACTATTCTTTTCAGCTTTTGCTGTTGTAGTTTAGTGGGGCTCTCTTTTTCAAGAATGTTTTTTAAAGTAATTATTTCTTTCTTAAAATAAGAAAAAATAGTACACCCTTAACATTTCCTTTCTGATTCTCTATCAACTGTTCTACCAGCAGCACTGCAGATGTTGCATTAACTTAGAACTAAAATCCATTGATCACTTATGTTGATTTTATTTTTTATAAAGTACTTTCAACATATTGCCATCATAAGAAAGCCAGCTTTGTTATTACATCAACAATTTTGCATTGATGGGGAAGGGAGTGAAAGCTGCTTCTCCTGTTTGTTTTCTTCTATTTGTTTGTTAAAAAAAAAAAACTATATAACCTTTTCTTCTCAAACATGTGTCCTTAGTAATGTTTGTGAAGCCTTTGAACCACTGAAACAGCTTGCTTTTGAATGCGTGGGTTTTTTGTTTGGGGTTTTTTTTTGTCTGT